GAAAATAAAATTGCCAGATGGGCACTCCATTACTTCCCACTGACAACTCTAGTGTCCTCCCTTCTCAAAAAAGCCAATTCCTTTAAGTTTGCTCTGGATCCATTCCCTCCCTTTGCCCAGGCGACCTTGGTCCATCAATGGAATATTCTCCTTCTGTGCGTCATCATTTCCCTCTACACTGGGCTTTACCTGCCATTTATTTTCAACAGCTTTATAGAGATATCGGGTTGTCGGAAACGTCATGACGCATTTTTGAAACGAAAAACAGAAAAAATACGTCATGACTTTTCTGACAACCCAATAGAATTCACATTCCATAGGATTCACCCACTGAAAGTACACAATTTTTACCGTATTCACAAAGTTGTACAACCATCACCATTATCTCATTGTAGAACCTTTTCATTTTCCCAGAAAGAAACCTTGTACCTATTAGTAGTCACTCCCTATTCCCCCTGCCCCCCAGCAACTGCCAGCCGTAGGCAACCACTAGTCTGCTTTCTATATCTATAGATTTGCCTACTCTAGACATTTCATATAAATGGAATCATACAATATGTGCTCTTTTTTGACTGGTCTCTTTCCCTTAGCATAATGTTTTCAAAGTTCATCTATGTAGTAGCATGTGTCAGTACTTCATTCCTTTTTCATACTCATAATACTGCATTGTATGGTAGAGTAGTTTATCCATTCATCACTTTGGACATTTGGGTTGCTTCCACTTTTTAACTATTATGAATAACGCTGCTATGAACATTCATGTGCAAGTATTTGTTTGAATACCTGTTTTCAATTCTTTGGGTGACTACCTAAGAATGGAATTGCTGGGTCATTGTCTATGTTCATATTCTATGTTTAACTTATTAAGGGGCCATACTGTTTTCCACAGAGACTGCTCCATTTTACATTCCCACCAGCAATGTGCAAGGGCTCAAACTGTTTCACATCTCCACCAATACTAGTTACTTTCCTTTTTATGTTATTCTAGCCATGCTAGTGAGAGTGAAGTGATATGTCATTATGGTTTTGAATTGCATTGTCCTGATGGCTAATGATGCAGAGCATCTTTTCATGTGCTTATTGGTACACTTTATTTGGAGAAATGTCCAGTCAGATCTTTTGCCCATTTTCTAAACTGGGTTGTCTTTTTATTGAGTTGTAATTGTTTATATATTTTGAATACTAAATTCTTATATGATTTCCAAATATTTTCTCACATTCTGTAGGTTGTCTTTTCACTTTCCTGATGGCATTGTTTGAAGCACAAAAGATTTTTAATTTTGATAAAGTTCAATTTATCTATTGTTTTCTTCAGTCGCTTTGTGCTTTTGGTGTCCTAAGAAACCACTGCCAAATCCAAGGTCAAAAAGGTTTTCACCTATGTTTCCTACTAAGAGTTTTAGTTTTAGCTCTTACATTTGGGTCTTTGAGCCATTATGATTTTTTTGTATGTGGTGTGAGTTAGGGATTGAATTTCATTCCTTTGCACGTGAACCCCATTTGTTTAAAAGATTATTCTTCCCCCCATTGAATGATATTGGTGCTCGTATTGAAAATCAATTGGCCATAGATGTATGGGTTTATTTCTGGACTCTCAATTTTATTCCATTTGTCTATATGTCTGAATTTATACCAGTCCATTGTCTTGAGTACTATAGCTTTGTAATAAGTTCAAAATTGAGAAGTCTGAGTCCTCCAACTTAGTTCTTTTTAAGATTGTTTTGACTATCCTGCATCCCTTGAATTTCCATATGAAATTTAAAATCACTTTGTTAGTTTCTACAAAGAAGTCAGCTGGGATTCTGATAGGGATTATATTGATTGAATGTATAGCTCAATTTCAGGAGTATTGCCATCTTAACAATAGTTTTCTGACCCATGAGATATATTTCCATTTCTATAGGTCTTTAGTGCCTTTCAACAAGATTTTGTAGTTTTCCCCATATAAGTGTTGCACTTCTTTTAAGTTTATTACCAAGTATTTTATTATTTTTGATGGCATTGTGAATGAATTGTTTCATTTTCACATCATTCATTGTTAATGTACAGAAATACAACAAATTTTTCTATATTGATCTTGTATCCTGCAACTTTGCTGAATTTACTTGTTCTAACAGTTTTATTTAGAAATTCCTTAGGATGGTCTATATACAAGATCATGTCATGCAAAAATAGACAGCTTTATTCCTTCATTTCCAGTCTGGATGCTTTTTCCTTTTCTTGCTTAATTGCTCTGGTTAGAACTTCTAGTACAATGATGAATAGAAGTGGCACAAGCAGGCATCCTTGTCTTGTTCCTCAACTTACGGGGAAAGGTTTCAGTCTTTGAGTATTATATTAGCTATGGGTTCTCCTAAGTGGTTTTTATCAGATTGAAGAAATTTCCTTCTAGTCTATTTTCTGAGTGCTTTTTTTAAATCATGAAAGGGTACCAGACTTAGTCAGATATTTTTTATGTATCTATTGAGATGATGTGAAGCCCCCCCCCCTCATCGATATGGTGTCCTAACTTCTTTTTAAAGTTGAAATCTTAGGAGGATTCTCAAGATACCAAACAGGGTGGGTGGGGGAATTGCTCTGGTTGAAACAGGAAGCCTGAGACTGCCAAACTGGCCCAAAAGCAATTCCCTCCCAAGTCGCCCTGGGCTCCACAGGAAACTAAGCCAGGGGCCAAAAACCGCAAGCCGCCCGTAGGGCTGTGGTCCAAAACTCCTTGTTGGGCCTGGCTCTGTCCACCAACTAAGCCCCAACCCTCGGCCTTAGGGAGCCCTGGTTGGCAGGGTTGGCTGATTACAAGTAGCCAGCCACTTTATCCACAACAGCTCATTAGCAACCTGCAAATTGCATATTTATCCTGGCATAGAGCTCCAGAGCCAACTCCCCCTCTATCTCCCTGGCTGAAAGGTTGATGTAGGGGCTTTGGAGTCCTTAACACTTGCCCTTTTTGATGTTATCTTTCCATTAAAAGGTAGTTTGGATCTGTGGTTACAGCAAATACTTGTACTTCTAAAACCTTGATTATAATCAACCCAAAATACAGAGTCAGTATCTCAAACAGATTGCAGGCAGCCCACTAATTACTTTGGGGGATGACTGATTAAGAAACTTTATTACAGAAAATGAATGCATCCAATGTCCCCAAATACATTTGTGACAAGAGATGCACAGGAGACAGACAATGGTTGCTACATCACAGCCTTGTTCTTTCCAAAGGATAAAACACCATTCAAGAACAGGGTGAGGGGAGTTGGAGAAGAGAGGTGGTTAGAGAAAGCAGGTACTGTCCTTTAAAAAAAAACAGTAACAGGTTGGCATTATAAGAACACCTAATGTGGGCCCAGAAATCAAGCTAAGCCTAAGACTTAGTGGTGACACCATGCCACTTGTCAAATCTCAGAGAAGCTACAGAGCATCATTCCATCAAGAGCCATCTTGTGATGGGGGTGCATCTTTTTGGAACTGAATGTCTGCTTAATCAAAAATCACTGAACAGCTCCCCTACCTCTGGTTAGCTACTGTGGGAGCAGAAGGTGCCCCCTTCCAGAGTTAGCATGTCTAGTTACAACCAGATAGAGGGGGCACCACTTAGCAGAAATCTATCCGTTGTGACAAGTTGAGCCTCTTCCACATTTGACAAGGTTGCCCACAGCTCCCCAATCTTAGCCTGGCACATTGTGTGTTGGGCCATAGCAGCTTCAGCCTACAATGCCAAGTGATGGCTGAGGGGCAACCCTGGAACAAGTGCCTCCCGGCAAACCTCAGGACCAAGGATTTTTAAATTTGTGATCATTTTCTAGAAGGACTAGAGAAACACATTTAGGACAAACGATTTTTATGTGAGAAGGAATGGCCATGAATAGATTAGAGATCAGAGATCAGGCCGGTGTGATCCTGACTGTGACTTGTATCCATTCAGGACCTGATAGGGTGGGGAGGACACGACCTGCAGACATGCAAGATTCCAAAGTCAATTTTAAGAAAAAGCTTTCTCCTGAGTAATGTCATTAAAACACTCCCAAATGCTTCCCAGCCTCAAACATACACATCCGAATGTCAATGCTAGGCAGTGCCAACACTCACCCACAACACAGAACCTTCATCACTGCCAAGTTATAAGATGCATGTACACATCAGCCAGCAAAATATTTAATATCACCATTTTGCCACTGTGGCTATCACCCCTCACCCAAACTTGGACAAAATGGCACACCATCCACCATGACATAACCACTGAAACACAAACCAAGCCTCTTCCCGTTTAAGAACATTTAACAACAGTCCACGTTTCCAATGAATGAGCTCCAATCGTGGGTAGGCCATTCTACATTCCAGTCTGATGCATTTAGTGCTTACAAACAATTGATCCCATCAGCCTGCCTTGCAGCTCAGGTGCCCCAACATGGAGCCTGCAACAGAAGCCCCAGCCATCTTCCTTGGGGTGTTTGGTTTCTTGAAGTAGGGGGAAAACTGGATACTGCTCCCTGCCCCACCCCCTTCATTGGGGTCCAGGACAAATAGCAGCTCAAGGCCTCAATTGTTCAGAGGAATAATGTTGTGCTACATGTACTGGGGGATGGTGGGGAGGAAAAAATAAAGCCTGAATGCCTGACGCACCATACATACCCTTGAAACATGTTTTTGTTGTTTAGCATTGAATTTGACCGTGTCAGGGATTGGGCAGGAGGCAAAAAAAATAAAAAATAAACCTACACAGTAATGAGCCTCAATCCTGACCACCCACCTGTGAAGGCTGCTAAACCTTGCCTGTGTCGTTATCTTAGCTCTTACATTCAATAGCTCAGATTTCACCTTAACGCCATTCAGACACAAAGTCACAGTACACAGTAGCTTCAGGTAGCCCTCTTTATCTTGTCCTAGGCAAGCTGGCTCCATCAAGCTACCAGATTTACGGGGAGGCTAGTCACCAAATACAATGGAGTGAGTTAACTGCTAAGGCTGCTATGAGTCAGAAATTTAGACTGTTTATAACAGAGAACAGCTTAAAAATGTAATACTGTTTATTTTAACTTCAAAAACATTTCAGCATTCTAAACATACAAAAAATAACAAAACATTGCAAATTGTGTTGAGTACAGAAGGTTCTTGAACTTTCATTGATGCAGCGGCTCTTCACTTTGCTGACAATGAAGAGTCCTACAGTTTGTTTGGAAAAACAAACAGTTTAAAACTACCGCACTGAACTAAAAAAGATCCAAACACTTCTCATGCCAGCTGACCCCCCTTTTCCACAGCTAACAATGGCAGCAGAATGCTATGTCACTATATACAAAAACAAGACAACCTGAAGCTAAACGGATGCCCACTGCAGTGTCCACAGGTCCAGCCTCACAGTGCATGCCCTGAGCTACGGCCCCTCCAAAAGGCATCTCCCCCACAGCCTCCACGCCAAGCAAGGGGCATCAAGAGCTTGACTCGGTTGTTTTGTTCTTTTTTACAAACTATAGATATGTACAGTTGATAACTCAGGATTTCTAGCCAATAACCATATAGTTAACACCACCTTACGGATAAAAAATGAAAATGCCAGAAACATCTTTAAATGCCTTGTCACACCAACAGCAAAGTGCACAGAGTGAGGAGAACACGAGAGCCTTTTCATTTTTAAAATGTTTGGAAATATGTACAACTTTGATACAGTTTCAGGGTGCTCCAGACACCCATGGCCACTTCATGTAAACCACTGACAATTTCTAGAGCACTCTGAGAGACTACTATATGATCATGGTCCAATTGTGTAATTAATCCTAATGAGGGCAATAGACACGCCTCAGGTTAGAGCTGTGTCAATGACGGCGCTCCCCTACTCTAAGGTATTCACAAGGAGACAGATCAACAGTTTTTTTATTCATCCTCCTCCTCCTCCTCCTCCTCCTCCTCTTCTTCATCCTCGTCGTCTTCGTCTTCCTCTTCCACCTTTTTCCGGGCAACTTTAGCAGGCCCCTTTGCGCCATCAAACTTCCCTTTAGACTTATAGTCCGCGACATCCTGGAAGGAACAGGGACACATTTCAAATGAGGAGGCAAGCTCTCCTGCAGCCGTTTTAGCAAAGGGGACAAACATGCTGTCCCTGCCTCAGACTAAACAAGCAGGAACTGGAAACAAGGCAGGGATGCTATTTGCAGTATTCGTTTGTTCCCAGATGCAAAAAGGTAATAGGTGTTCAAGTGGCCTTTAATTCGTGTTACTAGCGCTGTCAAATCCTCTGCCCAGGGCATCCCATGTTTTCTAAGGCTGCCTGAAGTTGCCCCAAAGCCAAAAGAAAATCTGTCAGAAGCCTGAATACCAGCACACGGGGCTGACCTTGCGTGGAGATGGGTCCGCGCATGCTCTGCTCACTCCGCAGCCCAGCACAGCAGCCGTGTGCGCCCCGCCCCCATGCCCAGGGCAGCTGACCGCTCCCCGTCCAGACCGCACTCGTCGGCCTACCTCACCTTCTCATACTTCTCCTTCAGCTTTGCCGCCTTATTGTTGTAAGGCTGCTTTTCATTGTCACTTAAGTTATTCCACATCTCGCCCAGCTTCTTTGCCACATCTCCGATAGAGATGCCAGGGTTTGTGGATTTGATCTTAGGGCGGAATTCTGAACAGAACAGGAAGAATCCAGACCTTGGGGGCGGAGAGTTACACAAATTAGGCGAGAACCCACAAAACGTGCGCTTAAGTCAAAATCCCATGTACCGTATGGGGAATATAATCAATCAAGATTAGGTAGGGTGTCAGATGGGTACTGGACTTATTGGGGGGATCACACTGCATAGATTGTGTAGATGCCTGACCACTGCGCTGTACACCTGAAGCTGTAGAATAATGTGTGACACCATATACAATGCTACAAAGTTGTAGGTTAGGTTCTAGAATGTTGAAGCTGCTTCAAAAATACACGGTGGCTCCTTAGTCTCTCAGGAACTGGGCAAGGGGTAGACAACATACCTAAAAATGCTGATGCCCAGAACCAGGCTGCCTGCTTCCCAGTGAAGGCCAACAGGCAACCATCAGGCACACACAGCTCAAACACCTCAGCCTTAACTACGGACTTCCCTGCCATTGCATTTTAACACTCTGAGGTTTTGTAGAGGTATCCTGACATGTTTTAGGTAAAGTGTCTTTTTAAAAATCTTCTAAGCAGAAGAAAAGCTCTTTGCAGTTATCCTGACTCCTACAGTCACTTACGGTGGCCTTTTGGGGGCATTAGGGTCCTTCTTCTTCTTGCCTCCCTTCGCTGGTCCATAATCCTTCATTTCCCGGTCATAGCGTACTTTATCTGCCTTTGCCATTTCATCAAATTTAGACTTCTCTTTCCCAGACATTGTCTGCAAAAAACAGGTCCTGTTCAATTCCTCAACACAATGAGCACATACCTGTTCAGTTGTCTTGTAATTAAAGTGGCAGCTGCTATAACCACTTGCAAAGGGGAATGAAAGCCTTAAACCCTTGTAGAATTGTTAAAACAATAAGAGCACATACACAAAAGTCTAAAGAGAAGCAAAATGTATCTAAGTAAAGAGAAAACAAAGTCACCGGGGATACTCTAAAGGTAAATAACCCCTAAGTGTGAAATCCAACTAAGACTAGCTTAAAGGATACAAAAGAGAAAATACCTTCCACCTCTCAGAGCACTTCTTGGAAAATTCTGCAAAATTGACAGGGACCTCTGGGTTTTTCTTCTTATGTTCCTCTCTGCACGTCTGCACAAAGAAGGCATAAGCAGACATCTTGCCCTTTGGTTTCTTGGGATCACCTTTACCCATCTTGATTGACTGTGATGGATAGAAGGAAGAGAAACAAAGAAAAACAAATCCAATGAATTAAACAGAACTACAAGATACACTAAAGGCAGGGCAAAATTAAAACTGAGGTTGCCATTAGGAAGCCTCCTCTTCCCCCCCCCAAAATGCCTGATGCCACTGGCAGCCAAAGACAGCCTGAGGAGGAAATCAGCTTCACTGTCGCTTGTCATTTAACTTTTGACCAGCACGAAGCGCGCTGGTTTGCGACTTACTTCTCCAAGAGTGATCAAGGTCTCCAAATGGAACCGACCCAAGTGGGGTGGCTCAGCGCTACATTGCGATTCGGAACTACTACGTTTTGGAAACTACAACCACAAAGTGGGAAGGGCGCAGGGAGGACACATTTGTAGGGGGTGCAAGCATTATGACAGAAGCTTGAAACCAATGACTTAAAGCCAGCTGGTTATCTGGGTAACTCCTATGTTAGAGACAAAAATCCTGTCATCGCTGCTAAACCAAGATCAAAGCAGGAGAACTGTAAATAGGGAACATTTGAAATTTCATTATTCGTGATGCCTTTTGGCTTGTAAAAACGGCTTTTGCAAGAACGGTGATCTAGCAAGTGAGCAGGTATCCTTGTACTATTAGTTCAAATCCGTATCTTCGTCATTATCTAAAGGGGGAAGGGGATACCAAAGGGGCTAGTCTTGCTCTTCTGTAAAGCGGAACGCATGTCCAGCCAGGAATACTTTCTCCAAAGTTTCCAAATAAAAATGCAGCTGTGGCGTGTCATCGTCCCTGTCCCAACCCAACCCCCAGCTTCCCGCCATCTTTTCCTTTTCCCACACCCAAGGTCATCATGTAAAACTAAAGTGCTCTCTTTTGCGGGAACCGACGGAGGGGCTGCATTAGGGCCCCGCAGTGCCTGCGCGGGTGGGGCGAGACAGAGCGCAGGGGAGCCAGCAGCCAGCAGCCAGTCTCGGCCCCGTGCTGGGTCACCCAGACACCCATAATTCACCTTCCATTTTGTCAAAAGCTTCCTGATGAAAGAAAGTGCCCCTGAAATCCACCGCTGCCTCCCCCAGGGGACTCGCGGGGCCGGGGGCGGCGGTGACAGCAGCGCTCCGGGGGCGCAGAGCCGGGCCGGCCGCGGCCGCGGTGATGGTGGCG